TGTCTTTAAAGTTGGAGTCGGGGTGGGGAGCCAGATTCCTTTGTAAAGTTATTTACAAGTAATTTTTTTTTTTGGTCAATGCAAGAAATAATGCCAAAGATAAAAGGTCAGCTGAAGAGAAAGGTCAATGAGGGAATGTTAAGCTCTTAAACATTTTCAAATTAAAAATGTGAAGAGCAACTTCTCACACACAAACATGCCTAATTACTGAGATCTTCCTCAGGGATCTTTCTTTGGGTCCACACCCCAGACCATTAAGAGTCCCTCAAGAAATGTCATTAGAACTTAATTCTTGTCACCCGACACCCACTCTCAAACTGTAGGCACTTTGTTATCATCATTGTCAGAATGCTGAGAAGAGACTGCCCTTTGCCTATGACTGGATGGGTCTGGAATTGTTTTAGAAAGAGAATATCAAGATAAGCGAGAGGTTGGCACTTTGCCATGCTCCCATTTGCCTCGCCCTGTCTCTCTAGTACAACTTTGAACTGCTTCCTTTTGGCTATCTTTCTTGAAGGAGCACAGTGCTTAGCAGTGTGACAGGGGATGGTTAAAGGAAAATGGCCACTAGAGTTCATTTTGTTCCTCCAGTCTCTAACAATTCCCCTGTCCATTTGCACATTTGCAGCATTGCCCATGTTAGCTAACTGCATTGTATGAGGGGTCAGGAAAGAGAAGGAGAAGGAGAAGGAGAAGGAGAAGGAGAAGGAGAAGGAGAAGGAGAAGGAGAAGGAGAAGGAGAAGGAGAAGGAGAAGGAGAGTTTGGACTTGGTATCCCGCCTTTCACTCCCCTTAAGGAGCCTCAAAGCGGCTAACAATCTCCTTTCCCTTCCTCCCCCACAACAAACACTCTGTGAGGTGAGTGAGGCTGAGAGACTTCAGAGAAGTATGACTAGCCCAAGGTCACCCAGCAGCTGCATGTGGAGGAGCAGGGAAGCGAACCCGGTTCACCAGATTACGAGTCCACTGCTCTTAACCACTACAACACGCTGGCTCTGGTGCAGGGGTGGGGAAGTACAGGATGAAGGTCTACCAGGCTTGTGTGTTGAGCATACCGCTTTATGGAAGTGAGTTGGCAACTTACCGTGGGCAACTTACAACTGTCAGGAGCAATGCCTCAATGCCTCCCACCTGCACTGTGTCAGGAGCATTTTGGGTATCAAATGGCAGGACAGAATTCCAAAAACAGAGGTGTTCTCCTAAGCCCACATTCCCAGCATGTTTGCACTCCTGTCTCAGCGACATCTACACTGGCTTGATCATGTCCTCAGAATGGAAGATGGCAGGATCCCCAGGGATGTGCTCCACGGGGAGTTGGCTTCAGGCAGTGGGCCCGTTGGCAAACCAACTCTACATTACAAAGATGACATGAAGGCTGGGCAACATTAACCTCGCTGTGTGGGAATCTCTTTCAGACGATAACAGTGTCTGCAGACAGGCAGGTTGTGCATCTGCATCAGTGATCAGAGGAGAAATGACCTCTGGGAGGAGCGCAGAGAGGAGAAATGCCCTGGTGCATCTGCAGCAGCACAACTGGACACCTTCATCTGCCCCGGCTGCAACAAAACATGTCTCTCCTGTATCGGTCTCCACAGCTACAGCAGGTGCTGCTGCAACCTTCTGACAGCTTGACCTCATCTCCAATGGTGCACCCCTCCATTGTCTCCTGGGACAGACGGCTAATGACCCATCTCTTTCTCGCATGTTCCCAGATATAGATTCTCGTCTCTGTATAGGTATTGAACATTGCTGATAATGGAAGCTCTGTGGCTAATATAGGTATATGGTTTCAGGGGATGGAAAGGAATGAGGTGCTGCCCCTTACGAGGTGAAGTCATTTTGCCTCTTGTCCAAAGCTTCCATCTCATTCAGGTGGGTTCACACTTGCCTTTCCTATGTTTGAAGCTAAACATTTTTCAGCCTTCTACTTGTACGGAATTCTTCCTACGTTGGGTGTAGAGTAATAATTTATTTATTTAGTATTTACTTTTAAAAAATCTTCTATCTTGCCTTTCAGGGCAAAGCAGTCCTGAGACAATTTGCACAGATAAATAAAACATAAGGCTAAATATATCTTATTCCAATAAATCTAATACCGTTGAAACAGCAGCCAAAATACATTTTATAGCCCAGCACCACACTCCCGCCAAAGAAAGCCATTTGAAAGAAGTCATTTTTTTTAAACAACAACAGCCCAACAAGAATATCTACAAAAATGATTAAATAATTTAACAATTCAGGTGAAGCTTTCAACCAGAAGCAGCTTAGGACAAATGTGATTTCGAGGCTCGTTTAGAAGCACAAACTGATACAACGAAATGTATCTCTCTGGTGGTGGTGGAGAGTTCCACAGACAAGGGGGCAACCACCAAGGAGGCCCTCTCCTCTAATGCCTCCTAATCTAGTTGATATTAATGGGCCTTTATGGCCCAAATGGCCATAGCTCAATGGTAAAACATCTGCTTTGCATGCAGCAAGTCTCAGATCCAGTCCCTGGCATCTCCAGGTATGGAAAGGTGAGATTCCCTGGCTCAAACCCTCGAAAGCCACTGTCAGTCACTTTAGGCATTGCAGACCCCCTCACAGTGACGCCACCCCAGGGGGCAAGGCCTAGCCTATGAAGGTAAACAAACTGGACAAGTGTGGCAATCACACAGGGTCCCTGGACGTTTCACCGTCTATTGATCCCTGTGCCACCACTTTGTTTCTCGCTGCCACCACCCAGGCCCTACCTGGTACAATACTGAGTCCAGTCAGGGTTAAATTGGAACATAAACCTCTGTTTATTTATTGCAGTTTAACAAGTGTGTGGTTTCATAAACGGTAACGGTCAATTACAGTCACGGGGTGCCTATCCAGACCTATAACTTCCACTACCTGCTCTCACTCACTAAACCACCTCTCAGATATTTACTTGTCTTCCTAGCTCCTAACTGTTCCTGACTCAGCTTATTTCTCTACACTAACTCAACCTACTCACAGACTCATCCCAATTCACTCCCACTCCAACCAACCACCCAACTCCCAATGAACTCCTCCCTTCGCCCCTCCCAGAGCTGGTTTTATAGTCCCTCTGACTCCACCCCCTCAGTTCTGATTGGGTAACCTGTTTAGCTATTTCACCTCCAGCACTCTCATATGTTAACGTCACATAAAGGTTCTGGGTTTTGAAATTGGCCTCCAGCCCATGCCCTGGAGGAAGAAAAATTAGTAACAAAACTCCACAGCCTAAGAATATGAGGGTGGGATGGCAGGGTTTGCTCTCCTGCTGACTGTGGTCCCGGGGTCAGTCACAGCCAGTCTTCATAGGCAGGGGGTGGACCCCTCCAGTCCATTCCTCCTCAGCTGATAGACTAGGGTTACCAGGCGTCCCCGGTTCCCGAGGACAGTCCCCAGATTTGCTAATCTGTCCCTGGACAAATTCCATCCCTGGAATGTCCCCCGATTTGCAAATCTGTCCCTGGGAAACATAGCAGCGGCAGCCTCAGCAGCCCAGAGCCAGCCTGGTAGCGCAGTTGGCTCTGGCTGGCTTCAGGAGCTGCTCGCTGCCATGGCACCCATCATTTTTCCTCGCTGAAAGTTCCCGTATGATGTATCTTGTGCGCTACCAGGCTGGCTCTGGGCTGCTGACTGCCACCGCCACTGCCGAAGGGGAACCGGGGACATCTGGCAGTACAGATATCCTGCCCCCTTCCCCCTTTGTTCCCCCTTTGCTTTGACTGATTGGGGGAGTCTCGGGAGTTGCGGGTGGCCACCCGTTGTCCAGTTTTTAAAAAACTCTGTGCATTTATGTTTCACAGGGTGCAAAAGAAGGGCTTTGCATCTTGCCTGGCAGAGGTACTGTGCGCCTTGCGCACCTCCTGGGCAATGGCACGCCACCCACCTGTGACTCCCGAGCCTCCCCCGATCTGTCAAAACAAAGGGGTTAGGGGGCAGGAGACTGGGCAAGGCTTGGGCGTCATGGGCGGGCAGCACGCCGTTGCCCAGTTTTTAAAAAGCTGTGCATTTATGTTCACAGGGTGCAAAAATAGGGCTTTGCACCTTTATACAATATGAATGTTTGTTTGGGCCCAGGGTCATTTGCCTCACCATCCCCACTACTGACTCCCTGTTGCTACCCAGCTTCAAAATAAATAAGTGTTCCCGGATTCATTGAAAAAAATCTGCTAACCATATGATAGACCAGTCAGATTTCTGCACCATTCAGCCAATCCTAACCCCGAAGTATAGCTATCAATAAGCGCGCTTCTCACAAGCTTTGGTCTTGCTTCACTAACAATGCAACCCAACCCTAGTAGCTCTTACGGCAGGCAGGGTGAGGAACAAATACGATAAATAAGTAACAGATGAAATAAATGAGTGAGCCCCACTGAATTCATTGGGGCTTGCTCCCAGGGAAGCATGCATAGGATTTCCAGCTAAAACCCTTTAAAATAAATGCTATTGTTATTTCGTTTTCTGTGGCCACGTAGGCATGATTGATTTGCCTGTCACCACCATTGCATCCATCACACTGCATTCCCCTTGAAACATTGTCCAACAAATTAATCAGTCAGGACTCCAATATTCTCATTGATAGCACGGCTGACCCTGTTCCTGTCTGTTTTCTTCTTTTCTTCCAACCTCTCCAGTCCCCCCCCCCCCGTGCTACACTTACTTGTAATACTTGCATAAACCCTATACCATTAAAGAAAATTTGAAGATCATTATTTCCCTCAAAGAATTCTGGGCTCTGTAAGGTAAAGGTAAATGACCCCATGGTGGTTAAGTCCAGTTGAATTTGACTATGGGTTGCGTCGCTCATCTTACTTCAGGCTGAAGGAGCCAGTGTTTGTCCATAGACAGCTTTCCAGGTCATGTGGCCAGCATGACTAAACAGCTTCTGGCACAATGGAGCACTGTGATGGAAGCCAGAGCGCATGGATACTCTGTTTACCTTCCCACCCCAGCGGTAACTATTTAGCTACTTGCACTGGTGTGCTTTTGAACGGCTAGGTTGGCAAGAGCTGGGACAGAACAACGGGAGCTCACCCCATCATGTGGATATGAACTGCTGACCTTCTGATCAGCAGGCCCAAGAGGCTCAGTGGTTTAGACCACAGCACCACTTGCATCCATTCTGGGCTCTGTAGTCCCTCACAGTGGTATAATTCCCAGCAACTCTCAACAAACCACAGTGGCCAAGATTTTCTGAGGGAAAGAATGTGCTTCAACTGTTCTTTAATGATATAGTGTATACACAGCCTCACCTTCAGGAGTTGGGTGGCTTCAAACCCCACCTCCCATCTTAAGGAACACACAGAGAAAAGCCCCATAAAGCACAACTCTGTATATGGAAAACATCCAAAAGTTCAACTCTGTGTTAAATCTGGTAGTTGAAAAACTGTGTATGAGGAGGACTCAGACATCAAGACATCCAGGTGAAATCTCTGTTTTTGGCACCCTTCATCAGGGTGGGTTTGTCACGGTTCTATACAAAGTAGGACTTCAGTACAATATAGCTGAACTTCAGTGGCAATCCCTCCAGGAATGGCTTTGACTGGCCGGCTAAACCAGGTAAGGGTAGTTGATGGGTCTCAAACCCTCCATGAGTTATGGACTTCCCCTGCATGGGAAAACAGGCTCTGGCAGATTGAGCAGACGAGCCCAATAGTAGATCCAACGGTCAAGATGGCGGTTTCTGCATGTGCATAGAAGGAAGTGAGGAGCAGATGGGGCTCACCAACCTAGGAAGGTAACCCATCTAGGAGAAATAGTCCCTAGAAACCTCCCATGTTGGATCCCAGCGCATGGGGAGATGTCAGTCTGCAATGGCGCCCACCATCGAGGGCAAGAGGACTTCTCTGCAGTCTAAATTTAGCCGTCTATCCACCCCACCCCGCTGACTATGTGTTAATTTGTTATTCGTGATTGTGTTTTGCTTCATTGCACAGGACCGAGTTTGGTGGCCTTCCAGTTTGCATTCTTGGCCTCCGGGTTCTCCCTTTTTAATGTTAATCTCCTTTTCTTGGCCTTGTAGCACTCGTTCCTTTCTTGCACTCACGATAACAATACCAGCAAACAGCAGGTGCCTCCAAGTTTCACAAAGAGAAGAAAGTTTTCCTTTTGCAGCTCTAGGGAATTCATTAGCTTGAAATGACAATTCTAGGAAGGAAATCAGAGCTTTCTATGTCATTGAGGCTGTTAAAAAGTAGATTGCCAATGCCGGCCTGCTGGCACGAAACCAGAATATTGTAAAAGTGGGGGAAAGGATCTAGGGCATTTAAACCACTATAAAAACTATTGTAGCATTTTGCCCAATGTGCTGTCATTTGACCAGGCTGTTAAATTTGGCCGGCAACTTTCTTGCGGATTATATTCCAGCAGTAAACTTGCCAGCATTGACCTTCTCGTTTCCCATCTGTTTTGTTTTTCAAAAATCTTTTTTTGCTAATAAAACTCTTCTCTCCCCCCCCTTCTTTGTCTCTGTTTCATTCCCTGCACTTCTCTTTCTGCAGTAACTTCTGGAGTGTAAATGCTATGTCTGAGGGTTGTTCACATTTCACAGGAATCAAGTGTGATATGTGATGTGAAGGAAGAAGAGAAAATCAAACGTGAACTGCCAAAAGATGCTGTTTGAATGTCTGCCTGAATTAAAGTCAGAAGCAGGGTATAAACAAATGTTATTTATCCATAAGAAGACAACAGATTGTCACTTTATTTATTTATACCGTGTACTTTCGTCTTCACCAGTGCTCAGCGAGCCTCAGCTTATGAAACATTTATTTACCTGTGGCAGGTAGATAAATTGGCAGCTTAATAAGCACAGGTACAGGGCTTTCAACAAGGGGATGGTGTACTTTCTGAGGGAGCATCATGATTGCCTCCCCAGTGGCAAGGCTGGATACAGTAAGCGTGAGGCTGAGGGAGATGCAGAACGAAGCTTTCCGTGTGCAAAATTGGCAGTCTTCTTGCAGTCTCTAAATTTGAGATGCCCCCTTGCCCTGTGTGTTGTGTGCTGGCCCTGCTATTTCTGTGGAAGTGTAGATTGATGAGAGGAACACAACTAGGTAAGGGTGGACCATTTACTCCCTTACCGACATCCCAGTACACATAGGTGTCCATGTCTGGTCTCAAATAGGTGGTTCAAAAGCACCTTTTCCTCAGTGACTGAGCTTCCTCATTGCTCACTTTTTGGGGCCTCCACACAAACTTTGAGAGCTCTCAAGAGGCCCATCCTTGGGTGAGTTCACATTACTACCTTAGAGTTGGCATCAGGTAGATTTGAAGGCTGTTCCGGTATTCCAAAGATGATGACGACAACAACAACAACAACAACAACAACAACAACAACAACAACAACAACAACTTTTATTTATACCCCGCCCTCCCCGGCCAGAGCCAGGCTCAGGGCAGCTAACACCAATAAAATCACAATAAAAACATAATGGGGGGGGGGCAATTTAAAATACAGGTTAAAATGCAATTTAAAATGCAGCCTCATTTTAAAAGTAGCCGATAGATCAAGACCGTAAGGGCACGGCAACATAAGTGTCAGACTGAGTCCAAACCAAAGGCCAGGTGGAACAGCTCTGTCTTGCAGGCCCTGCATAAAGAAGTCAAGTCCCGCAGGGCCCTAGTCTCTTGTGACAGAGCGTTCCACCAAGTCGGGGCCAGTACTGAAAAGGCCCTGGCCCTAGATGAGACTAATCTAACCACCTTGTGACCTGGGACCTCCAAAATGTTGTCATTTGTGGACCTTAAGGTCCTCTGCAGGGCATACTAGGAGAGGCGGTTCCGTAGGTACGTGGGCCGCATAGGGCTTTCAAGGTCAAAACCAGCGCCTTAAACCTGACCCTGTACTCCACTGGGAGCCAGTGCAGTTGGTAAAGCACTGGATGAATGTGATCCCGTGGCAAGGACCCCGTAAGGAGCCTCGCCGCGGCATTCTGCACCCGCTGGAGTTTCTGGGTCAGCTTCAAGGGCAGCCCCGTGTAGAGCGAGTTACAATAATCAAGCCTGGAGGTGACCGTCGCGTGGATCACTGTGGCCAGATCAGGGCGAGAAAGATAAGGGACCAGCTGCTCAATACGTGCTTAATCTGTGTAGTCTGAGATTCCTCCGCTAATCTGAACACCCAGGCCCTCTTATTTGAACCCCATCCCTGCATAGGGACAAGGTGTGGCTTTTGCCCTCTGCAAACCAGCTACTGTACACATGCTGCACAATGCAAGGAAGTCAACTGTGTATACAATAGAAGTGATGGAATATGTAGTGATTTTTATCTGGTTTTTTTTTTAAGCACTCAAGGATGAAGAGCAGGGCTAGAGTGAAAAATGTGGTTCTGTATTTGCCTGTTCAGGATGCCACTGAATGTGTTTGATGATATTAAGTTCTCTGTCAGGGAACTGCCATCGGACGGAAGGGAGGTGAAAGGGCTCACACAGGTTGGGAGAGACGCAGCAGCTGAAGAGGGAACCAGCAGGGAGGTGAAAGGGCTCACACAGGTTGGGAGAGACGCAGCAGCTGAAGAGGGAACCAGCAGGGAGGTGAAAGGGCTCACACAGGTTGGGAGAGACGCAGCAGCTGAAGAGGGAACCAGCAGGGGGAGAGGAGCTGAGCTGGAGGGATGGCTCAGAGACACTTCCAGCGAAAACAGTGGGGAGGTTTCAGGACCTCCTGTAAGAACACCCACTCCTCGCCGGAAACTGTCACGCAGAGATTCCAGAAGACGTGTTTCCGTTAAGGAGCTTTTATGTTGGAAGCGATTACGAAAGCAACCACTGTCGGAATCTGCTAGTGACTAGAGGGGCCATGTCTGAGGGGCTCCGTCACAGACAGAGGTTTGTGGACTTGAACAAACTCTGAGGGGATACGCTTTTACGCACAAGCAGCTCATCATCCCATCACATTCTCTTTCACAAAAGCTTCTGCCATGAGAAAAGCTTCTGCCATGAGAAAAGTTTTACAGTGGTACCTCGGGTTACATATGCTTCAGGTTACATACACTTCAGGTTACAGACTCCGCTAACCCAGAAATAGTACTTCAGGTTAAGAACTTTGCTTCAGGATGAGAACAAAAATCCTGCTCTGGTGGTGCAGCAGCAGCAGGAGGCCCCATTAGCTAAAGTGGTGCTTCAGGTTAAGAACAGTTTCAGGTTAAGAACGGACCTCCGGAACGAATTAAGTACTTAACCCGAGGTACCATTGTAGTTCTTTCAGCTACAACGGGATATATTTTTAGTGCTGCATAGGGTTTCTTACACAATGCTGTGTTTGAAACCACTCCTTTCTCAACTTCCTTCATTCGTCTTTTTTAAAAAAAAGTTTTTTAAGGATAGGCAGAGGTCAAGCGCGTCTGCAGAAGTCTGATGCTTCATATGAGAGGTGAGGAGCCTCAATGCTAGGAGAGTGGAATGCATGGTCCTGAGTGCAAGTTGTGCTGTTTGCACGAAGGATGGGACCAGGGCACTTTATTTGGAAAAGAACCCAAACAAACATTAGGCATGAGAAAAGCTCACCTAGATAACTCTGGGCCTGATAACTCTAGAGCTTGTGTGGGACCTGGAGCTACTCCAGATCCCAGAGAATTGGAAGATGTTATGTACTGAAGTTCTCACCCTGGGCCAGCAGGGGGTACCGTAGATAGTTTTCACTCAGGCCCACATATGCAAATAAGGGATTGAAAGTGATGTTCAGTGATTGGATACTTACAGAAAATGGTTACTGTTGCGTTCTAGTGGAGCTCTATATAAGCAGGCTGGCTGAACCCTTCAGTTCTGTTCTGTTCTGGCCCGTGAATAAACAAGAGCTGTTTGAAGAATCGCTGTGTCGTCTGATATGTCCACCCACAACTTAACAGAAGACATATAAAATTTGGACTGGGCCCCCCACCATTACGTGCAGGACCCTCTCCCCAGACTGCACCCCTCACGGGACTTGCCTGTCTGGCATGTGCCACTGTACTGTGCCACTGAACTGCTTCCTTGCTGGATGGTAGGATGAAGAGGGATGTGTGTGGAGCCCATTCTTTGCATGGCTGAAATTTAGTCTACCGTGCAAAGCACAACATCAGCTTTATTATGATGCTTGCTTTTGCCTCTATCCCAGCGTTGCCTCTGGCCTCACTCACCAGCACAGGTTGCCTGTGGAAGGAAGCTCAAAGCTTGGGCTGAAAAGATACCCCACCAACTCTATAGACAAGGCACCATCACCATGTTGTTCTCCAAATAAATTTGATAGTAAATTGGTGTCTGTTTCTGTGGCAGTAGATGTGGGGGAGGGGGTGGGGCTTGTAAATGTGATATTTTAAACCAGAACAATTCATTCTCAGGCATATGAGGGAGGGGACGTTGAGGAAAATTTGGAGCAATTTACATGGTCAGATTTGTTTTTGGAAATCTGATTTGCGTTTCCGCCCAAGTGTTTATCTTTATTGGCATTGATGTCATTTTAACAAAATTAGCAGCGTGCTCCCATCCTTCATGGCGAGGCAATTTCTTTCATCTTTATAACCCTGAAAAATTATATCCTGATAATAGAGTGTAAATAACACCAGAGTGAAAGCAATTTCAAAGCCTTATTTTGCTGCAGATATCGTCTTGTGGGCTTTCTTTATTTGTCTCTGTGCTTCACTCCTATAAAGGTAAAGGGACCATTAGGTCCAGTCGTGACCGACTCTGGGGTTGCGGCGCTCATCTCGCTTTATTGGCCGAGGGAGTCAGCATACAGCTTCCCAGTCATGTGGCCAGCATGACTAAGCTGCTTCTGGCGAACCAGAGCAGCGCATGGAAACGCCGTTTACCTTCCTGCTGGAGCGGTACCTATTTATCTACTTGCACTTTGACGTGCTTTTGAACTGCTAGGTTGGCAGAAGCAGGGACCAAGCAACGGGAGCTCACCCCGTCGCGGGGATTCGAACCGCCGACCTTCTGATCGGCAAGTCCTAGGCTCTGTGGTTTAACCCACAGCTCCACCTGCGTCCCCCTTCACTCCTATAGGTGACCCATAAATATGCATGCTCCCTTGGGAAATGTTTAAATGCTCCAAGTTCGGTACTTTAACACCAGGCCAAAATTATGCAAGAATGCAGCCCTACCCACCACAAAACATTCAATAAGGTGTAGATGAACTCCCTAACAGGGCAGTGCTATTGCTCAGCCTTCACACTGGCACTGCACTGCGTAGCTCAGCTCTCATAGGGCACCTACTTCCATCATGCTATGAATGAGAGCCAAGCTACGCAATCAACAACCTCATGTAATTTTATAACATTCATTTTCTTCAGCGTTTCTTTTTTTAAAAAATATAATTTTTATTAACAGGCCAATCAAATCACATTAATTCCAAATCACATTAAATCCAAATTATACAGCCGGATTTTTAATTTTTTTTGGGGGGGTACCCATACTTCAAGTTCCGAAAGGGGTCAAAACATCACTCTTGCTGCTGCCTTGATCAAACAGTTCTATCCAGTTCTGTCCAGATAGTCTTTTTGTTATTTTCTTCATCTTCTTGTTGTTATCATATATTCCTTTCTTTGTGATCTCTGATAATCTTCGCAAGCGGGTGAAAGACAAACATCTCCTGTGTGGGTTTTACACTCTCCAAAAATCATATCACATAAAGGACAGACGCCATTTCCACACCTCCGTTAAGAACATTCCCACTG